TACACCTGCTGCTCTCACATGGGATTGCACATAAATTCAATCTGAAAAACTCACAAAGAGAAATGACAATTTGGAGAAATGTGTTGATACAATTACTTTGTCTTTGGCACTCGGACCTTGGCAGGAAACATAGCACTTAATTTCTATAGATATGCATGAACAGGAGCAAAGACAAGGACTGTTTCTCACCCAAAAAAAATTGCCAAGGTTTAGGCCGCTACGACAGCATGCTCAGAAGGCAGAGACTGAAAAGAAAGGTAGAATTGCAGAGTAGTAACAGAGGAGATGAGCCATGAAGGCTTACTGAAAGGCCAGTATCACAAAGGTTTACCAAAAGTAAAAAAAAAACAACATAAAGTGTTGCTGATTGACTGGGCAGCAGTTTTATGCGGTTAGAACAAAGCGTTATTCAAATAGATTTTAAATAATTCGATGCAAATGATGTAATTAAAATTATTAAAATCAGTGACAATAAAAAGCAAAAACTACTTTTCACGGGAACTTCGGTTCTAAATTCAGACTTCCTTAAAATTTAAATCTGTGACAAAGCATGAGTTGAAATGAAACAGACTGAAAGAAAAGCAGGAACGACGTGATTTATCCATCAAAGTAGCTCACAATCTGCAGAGTAAATCACCATGACAGGATTGACAGAGAAAAGAGCTGAAGGTGTGAATGAGGAAACACTAGAGCAGGGGTCTGCAACCTTTCATATCCAAAGAGCCATTTTGCCCAGAGTACGACCAAATAAAAGTTGTTTAGAGCCGCAAAATTTTTCTAGAAAACCTTTTTTTTTAATGTGGTATAGGAAATTATTTGTTGCCATCTCAAACAATCAATTCATATATTCTTAATGTTAAAACGTATAATTTTTTAAGCTAATTCATAGAAAAATGCCTCTTAAATTATATTTCTGGTTCTTTTAATCTCATTCTTTTCCATCTTATAAAAAACGCTAAAGCTATTGATACCGGTATATATTATAGTAAATTATTTAGCTCTTTATATAAATTTTTGCCACTATTAAGAGCCGCTGGAGAGGGTCCAAAGAGCCATATGTGGCTCCGGAGCCGCAGGTTGCAGACCCCTGCACTAGAGCCTTGAAGGGATACGTCTCACCTGAAGAGAATGATTGTCAGCGAGATGGCTGCTGATAGCTGAAACACAGAAATGTTTGGAGACGAGGGAACAGGGCGTGGCAGAGCCGTCAATCTCTGCAGCATTGTGTGGATAAACAGGTTTGTCAGAGGATAGGATCCGAGCAGCAGCCGGAGCGGATCAGAAGCTCACTTCGAGTTGAAACGTTGTCATCTGAATGAAGTCACACTGCATCCGCCACGTGCGCACAGGTGCAGACAGGTAGGTTTCAGAGGCCTTCTAAGATGAGATTTGGATGCCGATTGGCTTTAGTGGAGGTGTGGTTCAAAGCTGATTGGCTGTGACGCAGGTGGATGTATGAAAAACAATGGCTGTGTTCGAACTCATGGGCTGCATCCTCCAAGGACCTGGACTGGAGACCGGAAGAGCTTTGGCTGTGAATTCAAACAGGGCTACCCTACAGCTGGTAGACCTGTTGCTTAGCGACCGTGACAGTTGACACACAAAGGAGGAAATGAATGAATACCAAAGTTTTAAAAACTTTGTTTTTTTAATTAATTTATTTATTTTTATTGTAAAGTGAAAAAAGATTACGCTCACGAAAATTCAAAGTGGAATTAAGGTGCCAACCACTGGGAGCATGAACAAATAAAAGTCAATGTAATGATCTAAACCTTAGTTAAATAACATGCTGCTGTCATTTTGAACATCTCTGATGTTGCTGCTATTTTCAAATATCCATTACTGTAAAAATGTCCATAGCTGCATATTGGTTATTTATTCTCCAGATGCACAGTTTTATATTGTTAAAACACTTTACAGTATTTTGTTGTTTATAATTTAACTCTTCACTATTATGATATTCGTATACATTTTTCTAAGGTCCACATTTGTGTGACCATTTTTTTTCAATAATATTTTTGCTGCTGTAAATTTCCCTATTGTGGGACAATAAAGAAATTCTATTCTATTCTATAAAAGGGGTAGAAAGATATAAGTAAATCTAAACAATCTAAACTTAGTTAAGCATATTGTGCAAAACAGCAATAAAAGATAAATTACAGCCTAACCCATTTACACAGTAACAGATAAAAGCCTTTAGATAAATCAAACATTACCGCCACATATCTGACTCTATAACCATTAAAACAACTATTTTCCTTAATTTCAGACTGAACTATTCACATACTTGTATCATATTAAACTGCACTTCCAATATTCACCACTGTTCGGCGCTAAGTAAACTTTCCTCCAATCACGGAGCAGCCGGTATGCTTGGACTCGCAATGAATCCTGGGAAAACCAAGGATAGCGAGGATACATCGGACCCGTCCTTCAAATCAGGCTAAAAGAAGGACGCATTTTAAGGCCGCTTAACGAGGACTCTTGGAATCCGACCAGACCTCGGCGCCGCGCTATGACGTAAACGGCCTTCGAATCTGGCCTTCTGAGGAGCTCTTACTCTTTCTTCTAAAACTTGTACAACTCAATGTATGCCTGCATTAAAATCTCTAGTTCCAGTGGTGTGAAATACGCAAACCTCGGGCGTTTCTCAAGTCTGTCTTGGCGAGAACGCAGGAAGATCGGACTTGACGAGAACGCGAGCACGCAAGCACGTATGTGTATTGGAACAGAAGCGTACTTGTGACGTCATCACATGCAACGTTCTTTAGCATTTCTTTTAACAGTCAAAACTATTTATTCCCTACACAAAACATTTTGAAACAATATTTTTAATTTCTAAAGCTTAAAAAACATTTTAAAAAATTACCGAACCGCAAAAAACCGCCATCAGAACGAGCGGTAGTTCACACATAACTAGACCGAGAGAAGTGCACTACAGACGGGGTAAATTTAGCCCTGGCTGCGGTTACCCTCGGAGGTCTGCTGGTCACTCTGGTCTGCTCAACGTCGGACTTTTTTTTTTTAAATTTCGCACTAACTCTGTAAACATACCACACAGGGAGGCTTCAATGTATAATGTTATCGCCTCAAACAATTTCAAAACGTACTTTTGAAGAACAACAGCAGCAGAAAAGGGAATGTTTAACTTAACACTGTGAGCGCTGTCTGGAATCAAGCTGCGGCCGCGGGGCATTCTGGGGAAGCGGTCAGTCTGAAGAACGCACAAGTCTGCTCTGATGCATGCTCGATAAAGAGGGCGGGGTGAGAACAACATCCGAGGATTTGATGCGTTCTCGATCTGGCGTTCTCGAGAATTGGAACGGTACTCGGGCTGAGGCTGATGACGTTTCACGAGTACACGAGCACACGAGAACGCTCAAGAACACATATTGAGAAACGGCCCTCCTCTTACCTGTTGTCATGGTGACTGGTTGTCTTGTCTTGTCTTGTTGCGTTTAATGGAGGTTGGCAAACATATTTTCGGTCTGAATTACCGCCACCTACTGGTGAGGAGTGTGAATCAGAATGGCCCTATTCATACAGATACATGTATTTGATGTATTTATCTATATATCTCTAACTGTAATATTACTTATATATATTATTACTATAAATATACTAAATCCTAAATATTGATAACATTTTTTTAACCTTTTCTGCAGAATATCTATCAAGTTAAATTTTACTTTCTCCTTATTTAGGTCTCTAATCAAATTATTCCCTTCTTCTTCATACTTCTTACAATACATCACTACATGTTCTACTGTTTCGTCTTGTCCACAAATTTCACATTTGCCTGATATGTTTCCCTATTTTGAATAGTGTATTATTTATTCCTGTATGTCCAAATCTAAGTCTTGAAATAACTGTTTCCTCTCTTCTGCTTCCTTCTGCTATCCTCATTTCTTCGACTTTCTGTTGAATCCTATAAAACCATCTTCCTCTCCTTTCTTCTTCCCATTGTTTTTGCCACCTTTCCTTCATCCTTTGTTTAATTATACTCTCAATTTCTGTCTTTCTTAAGTTAATCATCATATCAATGGTTTTATTTTGTGATGCTTCCTTAGCAATCTTGTCTACAATTTCTTTTCCTTTAAGCCCTATATGTGCTGGCACCCAAATAAATATAACACTAATACCCATCATTTGAAGTTGATATAAAACTTGCCGTATATAAAAAAGTGTTTTTAGATCAATGAAGAAAAAAGAAAAGTGAAACTCCACATTTTCTCATCTGTTCATGTAGGCTACCTGTATGACCAGTAATACCAACAAGCTGCTCCTGATTATGAAACATCAATCTTTTGATGGTGGCCCACTGAGGCCCATGCTATTGCAAATCAATGGTTCAAAGTATGGTTCACAAAAGTAACTTCTGATTGCTAAGTGAGAGAATAGGTGTCATTCATTATTCCCGAGTATATCTGCATGGATTGACTCAGGAATTAAGAATAGTTCACATAAAATGCGTAGTTGTCTCTCACTAGTCTGTGGGCCACTATTTGCTTTGCAATCTCATAATCCTGCCAGAACCATACATGAAAATCATATTATACAAACAGACACCAGTCTGTGCATTTATTTCCTAAAATTATTTGACCCTATTTATCTATCGAATGATAGGTTAATAATCTATTGTTTATTATTTAACTGTCTAAATCACCCTTAAACCAGACACTGTGAAAAAAGCCCTAATTAAATACTCAAAAAAACAAAATTTGATATTTAGTTGTTTGATCAGCATTTACATAGCCTCACAGAAGAGAAACAGAATGAATGCTGTTGGAAGAATGACATACTGTGAGCAACTAACTATAAAGACAATTTAGATTTAAATTTTTCCAGTAAATAAGTAATGAATAAAAATCATACATTTTTCTTTGCAAAAATCATTCCATGACACCAACTACAATAAATGCCACAGGAAGTCAGCATATTAGAAAGATTATTTTTGGTATAAATCATTTTGATAACTTAAAAGTAATGACACATGTGTATAATAAAACAAACTTTATTTTGGCAATATTGCACTCATTGCATGATTTAAAAAAAATATGAGGGCTGTCATAGTGCCTGTGCTGCTGAATAGTGAGCAATGAATGAAGCATCAATTAAAGAACCTTTAGGCAAAGCAGGGGATTGGAAAGCTTCATTGCTTTGTGAGGGTTAATGTTTGGCCATCAATAGAACAGAATCTGGATATAGATGCAGGAATATTGAGGTGATGGGTATTGAAATTTAGAAAATAATTGAGAGTAAAGTAATAGCACTAAATAAAAAGTTTGGCTACCCCTTTCCTCCCCCTATGTCAGGTTAATGTGTACTTTTCAAAACTCTCACACATGCGTGAACCCTGGCACCCAACATACACGCATCAAGCTCTGCTCTCCACACTAAGGGCTGCAGACATACAGAAACTCTGCTCACCATCACCAAGTTACATCTCTAATAACATGTAGTTTGATTCGGCTCTGGGTTGGTTCTAGTCTCCTCACACATTATTTTGGTCCTCACACAGAACATTTCTTATTAATAAATTATTAAGAACAATCATCAATAAATTTTTCATTTGTAGAGTATTATATTATATATCATATTTGCACAGTACCCTTTGAATGTTTGATACTACACCACACATTTTCTGGATGTGGTTTTAAACCTTGTTTGGACTTTAATGAAATATATAAAATCAAAATACTTCTGAGTGATTTGTGCAGATACATGAAATTTATTGGACTCCTGATTTCTGTTCAGAAGACAATAACTATAATCTAGAAAGCTGGTCCTAAATCATCTACTATCAAGAGATCATCCTGGCTGGTAACCATAGAGAGCTGACCCTCTGTGTAAAACACAGAGAAAAATAATGCCACATATTTTATTTTATCACCAATTATAAATACATATATTATAAATATCATATTATATATTATACATAACTCATATGATAAATAAATATGATACATAATGTTTTTGAAAAATAAAAATAAAAAAGAATAATGGAGGTTTTATCATTGCAAAGCTGCACAGCACAGTTAATAATATGAAGGAAAAAAAGGATTTGAAAAACTGCTGCACATCTGACATTTGAATCAATGTATGCGCATCATCAGCCATGGGAAGTATCCAGACCGCTGCATGCCAAACGTGCTGATGAAGCAGTTGAGAACTGTTGTGATGAAGACTATGATGGTTGTTACATTGTTAAGGTAGTCCAGACGCCTTTGGAGAGTGGAGTTGTTCAGATCTCGACGTCCTACATGCAAATGCACAGTGCAAACAGACAAACACACAAAAAAAAGGCTGTATCATATTTTCCTTCATAAAACAATAATGACCAAAAATATTAAAGAGAAAAAACACGCTTTATTTCATAATTTTCACATGCAAATTGCAGTTTAAGGACAGTTCAGGTTCTTTTTCGAGTTATTTGTTTTATTCAGGATCCTGGAGGTAAAAGTTTAAAGATATTAACTGTGATTTCTCACTAATGTGGAACCCAATAAAGCATTGCTTTTGAATTTAATCTTATTTTTAAGTTAGCTTATATGTAAGTAAAGGCATTTATTAAAACATTATAATCAAAAGATAATAGATGCAACCTTTGTATAAAAGTCTAAAAACTATGAAAGTCACACATTTTTTATATTTACGCAAAGCAGAGAACCACAAATGCATTTGTAAAAATATAAATGTTTTAGATGGATTACAGTTTTCAGTTACAAAGCTTGATAAAAAGAAAGATTCAATAAATAGAATTGTCCATGTATTTGCCTGAACTTCGTCCTAACTCCCCAATAAAGGTGTTCATTTAATATAAAACATCAATGCTGGAGAGAAGTTTTCTTGATGGCTGAACTATCAGCGAACATAAGATTGAGTTTGCAGCATTGCTCGAGTCAGAAGTGGAGTCTAGCCAGCAGCCAGCGGAAGAAGCCCGTCCTCTTGGATCCGAAGAAACTAACAAAGAAGTTGACCACAGTTGTGGCAAAGATGACGCCTGTGGTGAGGTTATTCAGGTAGTCGAGTCGCTTCTGATTGGACACCACATTCAGGTCCCTGCGGGCTACAACATGCACGCACACACATGCAGACACAGCAAACAATTTCCCACATTACCATCAAACACACACATGCATACACTTGATGCTTACATCCACGCTATCAGCTTTTCCATTCAATCATACAATTCAGTCACACGCCCCTCAAGCCTGCTTGGTCAAATTGATATTTAAACAGGACAGAATAAACTCTATTGTTTCCCAGTGGTATACTGTGGAGGAGTAAGGTGTCTTAAGATCCTGTGCAGAAATTCAACAATTAAAATTAAAATAGTGGTGCTAATTGATGTTAATGTGATTAAAAATATAGAACTTTGAATCAGACAAACCCTTGAACATTAAACCTACGGCTAATTGATTTTGTAGACATTTTTGCATATTCAACTAATTGCTTGGCTCGTTAGTCAATTCTGGTACGATTTTCTTGGTTAGAAGCTGAAAAGCTAGAAGCTGACTGGACACACAACACTGAGGCTATGTATAAGAAATGTCAGAGCAGACGCTTCCTGCCAGAGATGGGAAATGTGTTGTCAACAAGTCATCTCCATGTTGTGTATTTAATCTACCCAGCCAATTAACCAGGTGAGTCCAGTCTGCAAAGGTTGATTCACGGTGAAGATTGGACTCACCTGTTTAAGTGGATGGGTAGAATAAATACATGACATGGAGATAACTTGTTGACTCCACATTTCCCATCTCTGCTTCCTGCTGAGGAGACTGTGTCTTTTGCAGGCGAGGCTCTTCTATGACTGTTATGGCATCAGCCATCTTCTATGGAGTTGTCTGTTGGAGCGGTTACTTATCTGTAGCTGAGCTGACAAAAGGATCCTAACTATATTAACATCTCTGTTGGATAATGTCTCCCACCCCATGCATGAAGCTTTTGCAGAACAGGATAGCTCCTTCAGTGACAGACTGCTGCACCCTAAATGCACCAGGGAGCGTTATCACAGATCCTTCCTCCCAGCAGCTGTAAAACTTTATAACTAACAACTTAAATATGTTGTTACATTCATGCTGATTTTGCACAGTTTCTATCTTAGTCAGGTAAACAACATGCTGCTCATCTCTGGTGATGCTACTATTTTTTAAATATTCATTACTGTAAAAATGTCCATAGCTGTATATTGGTTATTTATTCTCCAGATGCACAGTTTTTACATTGTTAAAAAACTTTATAGTACAGTGTTTTATTTGTTTATTTTTAACTCTTGACTATTATGTTCTAAGGTCCATATTTGTGTGAAAATTTTTTTCTATAATCTTTTTGCAGCTGTAAACACCAGAATTTCCCCATTGTGGGACAATAAAGGGAATACCTTGGTGTAATGAGGCACAATCCTGCTTTTGTGAGGAAAAGTTGAATAATTAATATTTCAAAATATTAAGATTCCTTGATCTATTACATTTATGTGCAAGTACTTAAACTGCATTGAAAATAAAAATAAAAAACAGGCATCCTTTGTATATAGTTATCTAAATTGTATTGTTTAGATTTATATGAGTGTGGCCATGAGATGTTTTTATAAAATATGCAGTTTAGCAAATGCATTTGAAAAAGAAGCACTTAGCTTTGAATTTAGAATATTGAGGAGGTTATTTTAAATTAAATACTTAAAATTGTTAGAAAGTGAGCCAAACTCTAGCAGTGAACCCTTGTATTTTTTGAACAAAAAGAAGAAAACTAACCCTAAATGAATGTTTTATATCACATCTATATCAATAAGAGTGAAATCTGTACCTCAAATGTAGTATTTAAGAAACACTGTCAGTATTACCTTTTTACTGGTAGTTTAATTTTAATATTCCTATAGATTAATAAGCATACTGCATGTCAGCTAAGTTACGCAATAAAGCGGTGAAACAGCCACCGCAGAAGGCAGCTGCGTTGTGTTCCGAACGCAGCTTTGATGATGTTTATAAGAAGAGTGAGGAAGATGATGCCGGTGATCAGATTGTTCAGGAAGTTCAAACATCGACGGCAGGAGGGGAGGGGTCTCAGCTCAAAACGAGCTGTTCAGACACACACATTCATATTCACACACATCAATAACACACGCAGGCAACAGACACACACATCCAGATGAGCATAACACAAGCACACAGACAACAGGATGGAGACAGACACATAGCCAGTTGGTGCTTTGCCCCAGTCCACTCACCCATAATGAAATAAAACGTGTTATTAGGTGATTAGAAATGTAAGTTATACTCATTTATGTGTCTGGTTAGAAGTATTAAATGAGATCTGTTGGCATAAAACTGAAAGTCAGAAGTGCATCCTGGCAAAGAGGCCGGTGCGTTCCATCCCAAGTACAGAAATAAAGATGTTGGTGATGAAGATGAGGAAGATAGCAAGGGTTGCTTTGTTGTTCAAGCTGTCCAGGGGCTTCTGGTTGGCTTCTTCGTTTAAATCCCGCCTGGCTGCAACACATTGATCAATGCACACACACACAAAAATAACACAATGCAAGAGAAAAACATACATTTTGTACCAAGAATTGACAAAAAACCAATGTGAGAATAGGTTAATGTGTTAATATGGTTAATAAAACAAAGAGATCTAAAAAGAAGGTCAAAATAAAATATTAAACATTTTGCTAAAAGCTCACCAATTATAATAATCAGGACACCGGCTATGATCTGAAGAGCCAGGGAGAAGGAGATGAGCGTCAGCACAGCTGCATAGTACCTGAGAACCAAAACATTACAAATCTGTGAAAAATCACTACTGATCCAAAAATAAGGATCATTTTGCAGGAAACTCCTCTGTAAGCAAAGAATTTCCTAAGCAACACTTAAAAAATGTAAATGTTTTGTAACTTTTCTGCAGCATACCGATATCCAGCTCCTTGTTCAATGACAGTCTTCATGTGTGTGATATTGGCCAGGAACAGAGCGATGTCCAGCATCCCTTCAGCTGCTGTCTTTTTGGTGGCGTAAAGGTTCATATTGACATTAGGGATGGAAGCTCCCTGAAACACAAACAAGTGGAAGAACAATTATTTATTAAGTGCACAAAGTATGAAATTAATAGGAAAACAAAAGATCCTTGTCAAATATAAAAATATTTATACAAGATAAAATATAAATGGAGACTATCAAAGGCTAACCCAGATAGTATTAAAACAAACTTTAGGAAAACTTAACTTTTAAACTTTGGGAAAAGATTAATACAACCAGGAGAGGGCAGCAAAGACCTGAGATACTGCTGCAGTCTAGAAGAAAACAATCATGTGAATGATTTGGGGCAATGCTTACTATGTGTTATTCATCATCATTTCAGTAGCCTGTGCTACTGACAGTGTTTTTGTTGTTTTTTTTTACCTGGAAAACAATCAGTGCATGCAATATTTTCATTAAACAAAGTAGTGGGGTCTTTGTTATAGGAAAATATATATAAATATTGTTCAATCCAAAAGTGCACTTGGTTGAAAAAGGTGATACTATTATTTTTTTTTGTCACATTTTCTTCAAAAATAGTTTGATGCATTTAGTCATTCTTAAGATAAATTAATTAAAAGCGGTTTTGAGTCAACCTAAATCTGTAACTGATCACAAATGAGTGGATGGGTGTAGTCCTATCCACTGAAAAACTAAAAAGAATACAAAAAGGGTCATTAGTCAAAGATTAAATCTTTGTTTTGAAAAATCATGATTGTAAGAATTTATTATCACATAATTTTTCTCTGAATCAACAAGTATTCCTGAAATGCACAAGACAGGTCCATGGGCTGCACACATGTTTACACATTAGTTTAGCTGAAAGAAAGTCATTTGAAAATACCAGACAGTAGAGTTTTACTCCCAGGGAAAAAGGGAAGTAGGAAATAGCTTAAACTGAGAGTTTGGAAATAAGTATTTTTAATTGTTTTTGTGTGTCTACGCGTCGTAGTGAGATGAAAGAAAGAAAAAACATCAAACATGGCCTAATGACACACAGCATGTGTTCGTGGGGAAACCTCTATATGTTCTCTATTTACTGCCTCCTCTAGGACTATGAGCTCTAGATGCACTTAACATGTTAGAGAAGATTTAGCTGCAGATCTAAGCCAGGAACGGATTGTTTCACCAAAGGTAGAGTCAGTGCAGAATAAATCATAGGTCTGTTTTTCTTCAGGCTGCAGAGACAGAGGCTAACATAAGGAAGGCATGGATCACATACATTATGAAGATTATATACAGACTCAGGACACAATGTACTTTATGACCTCATTGTGCTGTAATGTACATTGTTGTGCCAAAATAAACGGAGGGCTGACACCGTGTAATGTATTGTAGTTGTTTAACACATTTAAACCCCCTTTACTTTCGTGTTGGTGGTTTATGGTGAAAGAAAACTGGCATCTCTGAATATTCCTGAGAAAAAAAACAAAGGCTTAAATTTCTCCAGCAGCATCAAATGTTATTTTTCTTTCTTTTTAGTTGTGGTGGTGTTTTATTCCTCCTAGCACATGTGTTTTAAAGGAAGCCATAACTTGGTACTGAGATTTTTTTTTTTTTAAATCTCAAATGTGTTTTAATGTTATCAAAGCTTCATCGCTTTTAATCCGTCAAGAAAAGGCATACTTTTTCTTTTCTCTATTGTGGTTTTGAGGGTGCTAAAATTGATTTATGTAATGCCGTAATTTGTCTTTTGTGGGACAGAATATTTTATTTCATACCTTTCTGTAAAGTTTCCAAGGCCTTTTTAAGGGAAACGGCGTCCTCCACCGTTCAGAATGGCTAACTTGAGATGTTTTTCCTTATATTAATCTATTTATTCTACTCAAGATGCAATTCTTTTTTTTTTAAAGGCTTATCAAATATGACTAATATTTTCTCTTGTCTTTTACATTTCGAAAATCTGTTAACGAAAATGGATTTCTAGTTATGCCATGTTTAATATGCTCACTTAAGTTTATGATACTGGATTAATAAAACAAATAAATTAATTTTGCCAGTGTTTACAGTCGCTTAGCAGATTGGATTCAATGAACAGGGGGATAATCTACAGATGATTTTGTTACAAATCTTCTCCATAATATCAATGATTTACTCTACTTCAGATTATCTCACATAAACATAAATCTTCTTGGTACGACAAAGAAAATGTCAATTTAAGAAGATTCTAAAGGAAATAAGCATAAACCACAACAAAAAACAAATTTTAGTTTGAACAAAAAAATTAAAACCCACTTAGTCCTAAACCATTTAAAGAACAAACCTAACAAATTTAATAGTCTATTTTCTTTTAATGCATGATTTTAGGATAAAAAAAATCCTCCAGCTTTTTCTTTTTTATGCTTTAACAGGACAGCCTTCCAGTAAATGCAAACAAAGCAGCATGCAGGATGTAAACAGTTGGCTTTTGCCAACTGAGATCATGTGATTTGATTGCGACATCACAGCTACAACCCTTACTTTCACTCTTGGCACGCTTCCTGCTGCGTTAAAGCAGTGATTTTCCAGGTGCACTTTGACATCAAATAGTTCACTGAGATGAATAATTGGACATTCTGTGGCCCATCATAACTGTGGTCAAACAAACCTCATGAGCAGACTTTAGGTTTTGCATCACTGGAATACCACAGGGGAAAACACACAAAAAAGCATCATATTTGAATGTATTTCACTAAGAGGTTAAGTGTTTGTTTATAGTTTCAAACTCTTGGTTTTGCTCTAAAAGTTTTGATTTCATTCCCACACAGCCTGCATTACAGCACAGGTTGGATCCAGCCAGGGTAAATCTCCAAGAAACTATTCAGCAGTTCCAAGAAAAGGTTCTGTCAAAACAATATAAATGCAAGCTCTACGGTTTTCAGTTCTTTCTTTTTTCTAAATCTATGAGAGAAAGAACTGCTTTTGGAGAAAAGAATTGAGAAAGGGATTTAAAAAAAAGAGAAAACCTAGAACAGAAATAGCAATTTTTCAGAAAATGGCACTCATGCATACTGGCATGCATTCATCTGTTTCCCCGCTTTGGGATGTGTGGTCACACTTGATCAACATCAGCCATAGGCGTGTTGCCAAAATACACACATACTACAACCAAAACACTGCACTTTTACAGGCCATGTGCGTTGTTTTATTGTAGGCCATGTGAGGATGCTTTTATGATGCTTAATCTGTACTTCATTTAAAACAGTTGCCCATAAATAAGTAGTTTAGCTTTTGCTTCTCTTGACAGGATAGTGGGAAATAGAGAGCTACTTACATGCATTCTGTCAGTATGTTACTCAAGGATTCATGTCAAATGCATGAGTTATAATAATCAATATTTATCTCGGTTGCATCTCTGCACCTTAAAATGATATAAAATTGGTTATTTTCCTCTTTTCACAAGAAATAAAAAACATATTTTTCTTGTGCATTGCTTTGATTACTGCTGCTATTATTATTTCTCCTCGCTTGTCACATCCTGCAAGAGATGGAAAAATATTCAATGGATCCTTTCCACACAAGAAAAACTTTATGGATCAGCACATGCGTCATTAGACTGACCGTCAGGATCTCACGTTTACTTCAGTCTGACGAGTGGAATGCGACCTGGCTTTGGGAGAGGATTTCCATCACCCAAGCTTCTCAAAGGAACATTTATCATGTCATTCTCTCTGCTGAAACCCATATGATGAAGGAATGCATAGTGTGGATCAGAACAAGTATTGTTTCAGCCGGTATTAGTCTTTAAAAGATCAACATGAGGTTGTGCCATAAAACATGTTGACCTGGATTCTTACAGCTTATAATCTTCAAAGTGAATTACTGTTAGAAAACTTACACATGTGCAGGAAAAACAAGCAGAGGCCACACAGAAAGGCTAATGACCTTACAGCAGAGCTCGGCAACAGTCTACTGTGCTCAAATTAAAAATGTGTGTTTATATTCTAACATACTTTTTAAAATATATTATACCTTATACCAAGGTTGATGAAAAATCTATCACTTTAACTGAAATCTGACATAATCCCTTATTTTTTACAATTCTATTTGTTTTACATGACATAAAAACTGCAACAATCAAAGTTCTGGTGTAGTTATGTCCCAAAGGGTTTTTAAAACACTATTTCAGCCCTTTTTAAGTCTTGGAATACATATATAAAATTATATATATGGCCAATTGACACATATTTATTGGTCTCATAGGGATTTTGGTACATAGGTACTAATGGGGGCTGGGTTTTTACAATAATCTAATTAAAGTATATGGGACCCTTCTCGTTAACTACATTGGGGCAATTTCACCAAAAACTGGTTTAGCATCCTGATTAGATTTTGACCAAAAAAGATAATAATGATAATCTTAGCTATATGGTCCCTATTCTATGACAGTTGTCCTACATCCAAACTATACTCCGCTCAACTCAAATTTATTTATAGAGCCCTTTAAAACGGCCACAGCTGCCACTAAATGCAGTACATATTAAGGAAATAAAACTGTATAAAAAGAATGAATGTTAAAAAGAATAAAAGAAGTAAAAAAAAAAAGAAATAAAACCAGGAAATGAATATATTACAGAAAAATAACCAAAGCCCAATCAATATTTGAAGCCTATATACTGAATAGATATGTTCTGTATTTAAATGCTTCCTGATGATGAATCAGATCCTTTACACAAATTACTGGTAAGATATAATTAAAAGATCCACTAAATAAGTGTGATGATGGCTAATAAATGGAGATTGTGATCATATTTGATGAAGAGTTCCTACTCTAAGTGACAGCAAATCAAAAGGAACATGAGAAACTTGAGAAATAGCAGGGTCGTGAAGAGGAAATGGAGACATTTTAAAAAATGGAAACCAGTGTGATCCAGGAGTAGGAGGGGGGGGGGTATCCTGTGGATTCCAGGAGCTATGTTGGAGATCTCTTTCCAGATAGAAGTGCTCCAAGTAACAGACCTCTGGTAGCTAACCAAAGTTTAAAAGGTGACCACTGACATCGAGGAGCGTGTGGAGTTATGCAAACAAGTACATGTTAGTGTTTGTAACTGAG